ACCGTGATGGTGGCATGTGACAGTGCAGGGCGAGGCGCGCGGGCTCAGACCTCAAATGTCTATGGTGGGGGAACGGCGCGAGGCAGCGCAGGAGCGTGCCAGGGTTAGTACTCGTCCTGCTCCTCTGGCTGCTGCTCCTCCAGCTCGTCGTCCTCTGGTGGGGCAAAGCCCTCCTGGTGGGACACGAATGGCCATCAGTGTGGGGATGGCTTTGGCATAGCCCAAACGCCCCCAGAGCCCCAGGGAGTGAACAGGGGGAGAGACTGAGAGCACTACAAGGAAGGGGTTCTCATCTCAGGGAAGCCCAGAGGGCAGGGTGAGGGGCTGGGGGTCCTGGCCCTCACCTCTGTGGCGTAGAGGACGCTGACAATGCCGGTGATGATAGGGCTGTTTTCATTCTCGTGCTCCTGGCAGATTAACTCAATGTCCCGCAGCTTGCTGAAGTAGAAATCCCGCTCCTTCTCCAGCCCGTCCACTGTCAGCTTCACGTTTTTTGGTGGGGGGTGGGAGAGAGGGGACATAACCTTCAGCGTTGCTGAAGGGGGGGGTGCTAAGGACCATTCCCTCTCTCCCACACTGGGATGCCCCCATGTAAAGGCTGGGGTGCAGGCAGGGACCCTGCCTACCTGCTGGTTGAGCTCCAGTATCTGTGCATCGGCCTCACTGCCCCCATTGCGTGCTGCGGGGGAGTTCTTCCGGAGAATGTTGCTGGGGACATTGCTGAGGCGGGCTGGGTTCGGGGAGTTCTTGGGACCGGTGGGAGAGGTCCTCTGGGGGACTTGACAGCACATAGGGACCAACAGGTTAGTGCCAGCCTGGGGGGAGTGCCAGTGGGGACCTCTGGCACCATGTGGGGTGGCTGGGGCCAGGAGGCAGCAGCAGGCAGCAAGGGCAGCAGAGTGCTTGGGGCTGTGACATGTCTCTGGACTGTCCTGCCTTCAGCCTTCCCCTACCTCAGTTTCCCCTGGCAGATCTCACCCCATGGGGTGCTTGTGGCCTGGCTGGGGTTTGCCATGGGATGGATGGGTGGCCCCGACCCTTGAGATGCTCCTGTGGGTCTGGCACAGGAAGCCCATGGCACTCATGTTGCTGCACAGTGGCACTTGGGCACCATAGCACAGGGGACACAAACCACCCCCAGGCCCATGATGAGTGGGAAGATGGAGGCAGTGAAGCCCTGCCCAGGTCCCTCCC